ATTAAATGGATCTTCAAGAGGAAGACGGACGCTGATAGTAGTGTTACTATCTACAAAGCTAGAATTGTTGCAAAAGGTTTTCGACAAGTCCAAGGTGTTGACTATGATGAGAGTTTCTCACTCGTATCTATGCTTAAGTCTGTCCGAATCATGTTAGCAATTGCCGCATTTTATGAAATCTGGCAAATGGATAAACAAAACTGCATTCCTTAATGGATTTATTAAAGAAGAGTTGTATATGATGCAACCAGAAGGTTTTGTCAATCCTAAAGGTACTAACAAAATATGCAAGCTCCAGCGATCCATCTATGGACTGGTGCAAGCATCTCGGAGTTGGAATATACACTTTGATAAGTTGATCAAAGCATATAGTTTTATACAGACTTGCGGTGAAGCCTGTATTTACAAGAAAGTGAGTGGGATCACTACAACATTTCTGATAAGTATATGTGTATGACATATTGTTGATCAGAAATAATGTAGAATTATTCTGCAAAGCATAAAGGAGTGTTTGAAAGGAGTTTTTCAAAGAAAGACCTCGGTGAAGCTGCTTACATATTGAGCATCAAGATCTATAGAGATAGATCAAGACGCTTGATTAGTTTTTCAATGAGTACATACCTTGACAAGATTTTGAAGTAGTTCAAAATGGAACAGTCAAAGAAGGAGTTCTTGCCTGTGTTATAAAGGTGTGAAGTTGAGTAAGACTCAAAACCCGACCAAGGCAGAAGATAGAGAGAGAATGAAAGTCATTCCCTATGCCTCAGCCATAGGTTCTATAAAGTATGCCATGCTGTGTACCAGACCTATTGTATACCCTGCCCTGAGTTTGGCAAGGGAGTACAATAGTGATCTAGGAGTAGATCACTGGACATTGGTCAAAATTATCCTTAGTGGAATAAGGATATGTTTCTCGATTATGGAGGTGACAAAAGGTTCGTCGTAAAGGGTTACGTCGATGCAAGTTTTGACACTGATCCAGATGACTCTAAGTCTCAATCTGGATACATATTGAAAGTGGGAGCAATTAGCTAGAGTAACTCCATGCAGAGCATTGTTGACATAGAAATTTGCAAAATACTTACGGATCTGAATGTGGCAGACTCGTTGACTAAACTTCTCTCACAAGCAAAACATGATCACACCTCAGTACTCTTTGGGTGTTAATCACATAGTGATGTGAACTAGATTATTGACTCTAGTAAACCCTTTGGGTGTTGGTCACATGTCGATGTGAACTATGGGTGTTGATCACATGGTGATGTGAACTATTGATGTTAAATCACATGGCGATGTGAACTAGATTATTGACTCTAGTGCAAGTGGGAGACTGAAGGAAATATGCCCTAGAGGCAATAATAAAGTTATTATTTATTTCCTTATATCATGATAAATGTTTATTATTCATGCTAGAATTGTATTAACCGGAAACATAATACATGTGTGAATACATAGACAAACAGAGTGTCACTAGTATGCCTCTACTTGACTAGCTCGTTGATCAAAGATGGTTATGTTTCCTAACCATAGACATGAGTTGTCATTTGATTAACGGGGTCACATCATTAGGAGAATGATGAGATTGACTTGACCCATTCCGTTAGCATAGCACTTGATCGTTTAGTTTGTTGCTATTGCCTTCTCATGACTTATACATGTTCCTATGACTATGAGATTATGCAACTCCCGTTTATCGGAGGAACACTTTGTGTGCCACCAAACGTCACAACGTAACTGGGTGATTATAAAGGTGCTCTACAGGTGTCTCCGAAGGTACTTGTTGGGTTGACGTATTTCGAGATTAGGATTTGTCACTCCGATTGTCGGAGAGGTATCTCTGGGCCCTCTCGGTAATTCACATCACTTAAGCCTTGCAAGCATTGCAACTAATGAGTTAGTTGCAGGATGATGTATTACGAAACGAGTAAAGAGACTTGCCGGTAATGAGATTGAACTAGGTATTGAGATACCGACGTTCGAATCTCGGGCAAGTAACATATCGATGACAAAGGGAACAACGTATGTTGTTATGCGGTCTGACCGATAAAGATCTTCGTAGAATATGTAGGAGCCAATATGAGCATCCAGCTTCCGCTATTGGTTATTGACCGGAGATGTGTCTCGGTCATGTCTACATTGTTCTCGAACCCGTAGGGTCCGCACGCTTAACGTTACGATGACAGTTTCATTATGAGTTTATATATTTTGATGTAACGAAGGTTGTTCGGAGTCCCGGATATGATCACGGACATGACGAGGAGTCTCGAAATGGTCGAGACATAAAGATCGATATATTGGACGGCTATATTCGGACACCGGAAGTGTTTCGGGTGATTTCGGAGAAAACGGAGTGCCGGAAGGGTTACCGGAACCCCCCGGGGAAGTATTGGACCTTAGTGGGCCTGAGGGGAGAGAGAGGGCAGCAGCCCAGGAGGTGGCGCGCCCCCTCCCATGTGGAGTCCGAATTGGACTAGGGGAAGGGGGCGCGGCCCCTCTTTCCCTCTCCCTCTCCCTCTCTTTCCTTCCCCCTTCTCTCTTCCTAGTTGGACTAGGAAAGGGGAGTCCTACTCCTACTAGGAGGAGGACTCCCCCCTCCTTGGCACGCCCCAAGGGCCGGCCGGCCTCTCCTCCTTGCTCCTTTATATACAGGGGCAGGGGGGCACCTCTAGACACAACAAGTTGATCTTCGTGATCGTTCTCTTAGACGTGTGCGGTGCCCCCTCCACCATAATCCTGGATAATATTGTAGTGGTGCTTAGGCGAAGCCCTGCGACGGTAGAACATCAAGATCGTCACCACGCCGTCGTGTTGACGGAACTCTTCCCCGACACTTTGCTGGATCGGAGTCTGGGGATCGTCATCGAGCTGAACGTGTGCTAGAACTCGGAGGTGCCGTAATTTCGGTGCTTGATCGGTCGGGCCGTGAAGACGTACGACTACATCAACCGCGTTGTGCTAACGCTTCCGCTTCCGGTTTACGAGGGTACATAGACAACACTCTCCCCTCTCGTTGCTATGCATCACCATGATCTTGCGTGTGCGTAGGAATTTTTTTGAAATTACTACGTTCCCCAAAAAGTTCCTCCATCCAGGAGGTAGTTTTGCAATAACGACAAACTTATTCGGTAACTCACACTTTAGGAACTACAGCTCCTTAGCGATGCACTATAGATCACGAGCCTGGTCTAGTACAAAATGGTTATCAACCATTATGTAATCATGGAGCTGGTCCATGGCATATAGTTTGCTTCCAGCATCGGTTGCACCGAACTTAACTTCGAGTGCATCCCATAAGTTTTTGGCAATGAATATATGCGTCAACTAACTTGTCTTCAATCACACTCAGAACTGCTCCCACAAAATGGTGGCTGCCTCCCTTAATCCCTTCTCTTGTTCAGGAGATCGTTTCCGTGGGAGACACACCATCAACCCAGAGCACGTTCATCGCTGTGAGCCACAATGCGGTCCTTGTCTGTCAACGCTTAAAATGCGTTCTGATAAACTTTTTTGTTTCAGAGTAGCTGCAAAGCCTTGAATAAAAAAAGTGCCTAAAGTAAGGTTTTTGGATTGTTGGAAAGATCAACACATTTTTTATTAGACCAATCCATAAGTAAACGGTGAGCATGGCAAATACGATATGCAACTCATACCGATACCTAAGCATGTGAGCACGTACAGTATATAGAATCGAAGCATCTATGAACACAACATATACGGCTAGTGCATGAATGAGTAAACGAGGGATGAACAGATCATACCTGCCGGTTGGCCAGGCTAACGCGGCGGCAGCATTAGCCTCTGCATCGTCCATGGCCTTCTTCTTAGCGGCGGCGTCTTCGACCATGGTGTCGATGCAGGGGAAGTAGTGGAAGCAGAGGAGGATGAAGACGGGGGCGGATCGAGCAGTCGCGTCGAGACGCTCCTCAAAAACCTTATTGCCATTCTCCCGGGCAGGATCTTGAACGACAGGGTTCTGGAGGCACCTACTCTCTCGACCAACCGTGCATGTGGTCATCGGAATGGGATCGCCGGGAGCAGCACACTGAGAGGAACAATAGATGACGGCTAGGGTTGTGCAAGGAGGGAGTGAATTCGTCAACATGCAACGCGCGCGTCGTGACGTGGCAGGCGGAAGAGGAGGAGCGCGTGTGTGCAACTTCTTTTTCCAAGCTCGCAATGGCATGTGGTAGAGCACTTATAAAGAGGTCTCACTCTCACTCCATTAGCAATATGGTACTAAATTTCTCATCACTTATCATGCATCTAAATGGGCCTTAAAGATTAATTAGGGATTATTGTCCTATATGACGAAAGCCCATCTATAATCCAACAGGTCAACTGTTGAGCTGGATTGCCTAAAAAAACTGTTGAGCTGGAGCTATCAGCATATGATCACTTCATTTGGGAGACAATATATTATGGATAGATCAAGTACCATTTGCACACAATTTCGGACAAATTAATTAGCATGCACGTCACATGGAACAAGCTAACCACACTGCCCCTATGTGCTGGACAAATGGCGACATGGCAGACCATGAGTGTTGTTTCCTCTCGGAACCGGCCGGCTAATTGATAATTCCATATACGAAACGCCATGGCGAGATCGCTACAATGAAAACTGGAGTAGCTAAGATTGCAAAGGCAGCATTTGCTGTCAACGCGGAAAATACGGGTTATTACCATTGCTCAAGCGGTGTGTCTTGTGCAATTAGGAAATGGGTTTACCTGTGTTGGTTGGGTGCGCCATTTCGGGCACATGCACCTACCATTTTTACATGTGCACAACTACTTGCAATCAGCAGGACTACAGGAGCATATTCTTCTATGGCAGGCATTCACAAAGACTCCAACACCAGCCGGCGCCAGTCGCCCTCGCCGAAACAACGGAACCTCCAAACCCAACGCGTCATCGCCTCTCTGATTTAACCAGGGGTGGTGCAGCGTCATAGTCATACATAGAGTAGTCGAGCGCGTAGGGTGCAGCCGCTAGCGCATGCATGCCTCTTCCGTCCTCGGCGATGGCGGAGGAGCACAGCGGCGGCCAGCATGAGCAGCAAGTGTCGGCCGAGAGGCGAGCACGGCAGAAGCTGCTGTTTGCCGTCCCGATCATCCCGATCGTCATGTTCATCGTCGCGCCGTGCGCGCTCTTCTTGTTCACGGCCGACCTGGCGCTCCCACGCATCCGCATCGAGTACGCCCCGCGCGACGGCGACCGTGACGCTCCGGCCAGTGCGCTAGCGACGGCGGTGGCGGTTGTTCCCAGCGAGGAGCAACAGCAGCTCCCGCCGCTGCGCCAGCTGACCGACCGGCCGTACTCGCTCGGCCCGAACGTGTCCGACTACGACGCCCGCAGAGCGGCTTGGCTCGCCGCGCACCCTCGGTTCCCGGCCTTGGTCGCGCCGGAGCGGCCCCGGGTGCTCGTGGTCACCGGCTCGTCGCCGCGCCGGTGCAAGGACCCGGAGGGCGACCACGTGCTCCTCCGGGCGTTCAAGAACAAGGCGGACTACTGCCGCGTCCACGGCTTCGACATCTTCTACAGCAACGCGGTGCTGGACGCCGAGATGAACGGGTTCTGGACGAAGCTGCCGCTGCTGCGCGCGCTGATGGTGGCGCACCCCGAGGTGGAGCTCCTCTGGTGGGTGGACTCGGACGTGGTGTTCACGGACATGCTGTTCGAGCCGCCGTGGGGCAAGTACGCGCGGCACAACCTGCTACTCCACGGCTGGGACGACGCGGTGTACGGCGCCAAGAACTGGCTGGGCACCAACGCTGGCAGCTTCGTGATCCGCAACTGTCAGTGGTCGCTGGACCTCCTGGACGCGTGGGCGCGCATGGGGCCGCGCGGCCCGGTGCGCGACAGGTACGGGAAGGTCTTCGCAGCGGCGCTGTCCAACCGGGCGGCCTACGAGGCCGACGACCAGTCGGCGCTGGTGTACCTGCTGGTGACGGAGCGCGGCAGGTGGGGCGGCAAGGTGTTCCTGGAGAGCTCCTACCTCCTGCACGGGTTCTGGGAGGGGATCGTGGACCGGTACGAGGAGATGCGGAGCAAGGGCCGGCCGGGGCTCGGCGACGACCGCTGGCCGCTCGTGACGCACTTCGTCGGGTGCAAGCCGTGCGGGGAGCAGAGCGCGAGCTACGGGGCCGTGCGGTGCCGCCAGGGCATGGAGCGCGCGCTCAACTTCGCCGACGACCAGATACTCGGCCTCTACGGGTTCCAGCACGAGTCGCTCAACACCACGGCCGTGCGGCGCGTCAGGAACGACACCGGGCGGCCGCTGGACGCCGACGACGAGCAGATCGGCCGCCTCCTGCACCCAGAGTTCAGGGCCGCCAAACCCTAGTGTCTAGTGATCAACTCGATCCTTGGATTGGTTTGGATATGAACGTGCAGAGATCAAAACACGCAACACGTCCTACTTTACAGACAAGATTTTTCTATGACTGTAAGATGTAGCTGTAGCCACCATTGTGAAATGTAAGTCATGTCAGTAGCATTCAAATGGATGCTGCTGCGTTCACTCGTACGCATGCTTCATTCTTCATCTCCAGCAAGAGCAACAGAAAGCTTACAGCTTATTTCAGACGGCAATGCAAAAAAGAAAAAACTACTACTTTGGTAAGCAGAGTGGCACTATGAATACTGTAAGTACTGATACTATGAAGTACAGTACAAGAAAATACTGTATATGGTCGCCTCCATGCATCTGAACATGAGCAAAAAAATGGCACCTTATCCCAGACACCGAACCTGACAAATCAAATTTTGTTTCAAGTCAGATCACTACCAGCACCTCCTTGCAATTGTAACACAATATTTGCAGGGGATTGACTGTAGCATGTAGAACTAGAATAAAGACTGTTCGATCACCATTCGCAACAGCAATATAAAATGAAAATATAGGCCAACAATCGATCATAGTTTCATTATATTGCCTCTCTGATCAACCACATTTCCGTTACATTACCTTCCCTAACTACCAAGATATAGACTAGAACATTCGTACTAGTAAAGTAGGAAACTAGCTCTGGTTTTTGCGCTTGACAGTTATTCCGCACCTTTCGCCACTCAAGATGTCCATTGTATTTGTCAGTGTAGTAAAGAAAATAATAGCCCCTCTTACTGTCAGTTGGGCACTGTCACGGTCTGCTGGTGCTAACAATACATGATAGACATGGTTTGTGTTCAGACACTTTCATCAACTTTATCCAATGATAATGACAAAAAGCTCAGTATGAAATCATCCAGGTCGCCTTCCAGGACTGAATCGGGATCAGACACTTCATAGTTTGTCCGGAGATCTTTGACCATACGGTATGGCTACAAAAAAGGAAAACATCAGTTTGATATTTGACCATATGAACAATGTAGTTGCATGGCAAAGTTTGTACGGTGCAGCTTCTTTCTTGATTCTCAATCAACAGCATGTGAGGACGCAAACAATGTAAAAGAGCTGATGAATGCAGCGGAGTAGATAAAGCAAGCTAAAGTTCTAAGTTTATCCTTGCCAAAGAAGTTAACCTAATCTTGTTAATCTTGAAAAATGGAAGCCTCACCTGTAGCACATACGATCTTATTTGGTTTCCCCAGCTTATTTCAGACAGTGATTGCGTGTGCTCTGCATTCATCTGCGCTTGACGGGTAATCTCAAGCTGGTCCAACCTAGATTGAAGCACCGCCATTGCTGATGCCCTATTCATATGTTGTGACCTGAATTTTTCTTAAACAAGTTAGTACACATATGTTCTACTCAAGCAAAGGATTCAGGAAGTCCCTATTGATTACCAGTTAAGAGATACTCCCTCCGTCCCGAATTACTTCTAGCAGAAATCAATAAAAATGGATGTATCTAGAACTAAAATACGTCTAGATACATCCATTTCTACAGCAAGTAATTCCCGACAGAGGGAGCATATGATAACAGTGCTGGTTATATTCAAAAGATTTATAACTATATTTTTCTTGAGCTATGATTAAATATTTGAATTCTAAACGCATGAAAACTACCTTTCATTTTGACAAGTTGCCGTTGTACCAGTTGGGATGTGCACAATTCTAACAGCACTTTCTGTGGTGTTGGCATGCTGGCCGCCAGGTCCACCAGAACGGAAGCGTTCTATCCGAAGATCCGATTCGTTTATCTGGTATCGGCTAGAGGCCTCACCAAGAATAGGTATGACAGCGACAGCAGCAAAGGAAGTGTGCCGCCGCTTTCCACTGTCAAATGGAGAAATCCGCACTAATCTGTGAACTCCTATTTCAGATTTCGCATATCCAAATGCATACTCACCATCAACTTTGATAGTAGCCCTCTGGAATAGCAGGTATTCAGTATAAGATCAACAGTTTGCTAAAATTGGCCTCAAATGAAAAGTTAACAGACAGTAAAAATAAATGAGAGCTTAATGTGCACATGACTTGATTTCACATTCGTTTTCATCTCTAGAAATGGATAAAACTGACACTAATTATGCATTAAGTGGTGAACTGACCGGATTGAGTGGTGTGAAGTGATGAAAAAAATAAAACAAGCAAACCTTGATTCCTGCTAGTTCACCAGGTATTTCTTCTATTATAGTGACTCTGTATCCCCGTCTCTGAGCCCATGATCTGTACATGTTCATAACCATGGCAGCCCGATCCATGCTCTCAACGCCTCCGGCTCCTGCTTGGACCTGGTTATGGGATCATGCAAGGAATGCCACAAATAACATCACTATGAAGCTTAAAAGAAACATTACTGTTCCAATTTTTCGGGCTAATGTACAGACTACAGAGTTATAGAGTGAGCACTGCACTAAGAAATAAGAATTGCTTAAGATAATGTGAAGAGCATACCTCAATGAAGCAAGGGTAAACGTCATTATCTCCAGAAAGCAATGCATTAAGTTCTTTCTCCTTTGCATCTCTTCTCATATCGGCCAATGCTCGCATGGATTCCTGCACAGGACAGTTAACCGGGCCATAAAATAAGCAGCTAGTTTGCACCATGAGGGGTTCCAGCAAAGATCCATGTAAGTGTGTTTGGAGCTCAATACAATGTAATTATGTAAAAGAAGCAATGTATTCACCGTCTCGAGTTCATTGTCACCCTCTTCACGTGCAAGCCTCAACATGTCGATGTGCTCCATCAATTGTTGCTCGAATTGGTTCACTGACTTAATCTTGCCCATGAGCTCGCCTTGTTCACGACTAACATTCCCAGCAAAAACTGGATCCTCCCAGAGGTCTGGCTTCTCCAATACCACAGCCAACTGCTTCGACCTCTCCAGTAACCATTTCCACTGCAAAAATTAAAACCCAATTCAAGAAGCTTACAGCGGTAAGTACACACAAACACATTCCAACACCTATCCACAGCCACTCTACCAGCAACTATGCAAAAATGTGTAAGTCCCCACAAACATATTCCAACACCTGATCCTGCGCCACCCTGCCTGGAACTATGCAAAAATGTGCTTGAACAGAGATCGCTGCACGAGCACACACACATACGCGTGCACCTGAGAACGAACGGTAGGTGTTTGTCGATATGCCCGAGAGAAACAAGCACATCAGATGCACATCAGATGCACTACAAATCAATAACACCCGACGCCCTGATCAATTTGGAGTACGGAAGACAGAGAGCAACAAGTGTCGTACAAGATTGGACCTTGAGACGCTTCTTAATAAGCCTGATGGACTGCGCGACGGCGGCGGCGTGGCTGCGCCAGTCGCTCTCGGCCTCGGCGAGGATCGTCCAGCCCTTGTCGGCAATAGAGTCCACAGTCAGGCCGTCAACCGTCCTCGGCGCCTCCACCACCGGCGCCGGCGAAGAGAACCACCGAGTCGGCTCGAGGAGGGGGCGTGATCTGGCGGTGGCAGGAAGGCCGTGAGTGGGTCCCAGAAGGGAGGACATGGCAGCTCCATGTGTGAGGAGGTGGTGGGTAGGATTCGGCGTCCTGGAGCGGAGGTGGGAGAGGAGGACCGCGGCCGTTGATCTGGTTATGAGGCGGGAAGCCATTCCCGTCTACTCCGACGCTGGCTGCCGGGGGAGGGAGGAGCTCGTAGTATGTCTTATGTTGGATGAACCGGAATAACGGAAGACGTTTTCGCTGTGCAGAAGGCGCCTCACGATGGAAAATGTGTTTTGGCCAAAGAAAAAAACAGCGCCGTATTTCGCTGTGCGTCACTATCTAGAAGAAACACGCTATATTTTAGCAAAGTTGCTCCCTATGGCTCTAAGAGCCCTTAAATTTCCTAAAAAAAAGAGCCCTTAAATTTCCTAAAAAAAAAGAGCCCTTAAAATCTGGAAACTGGTTTTACGGGTTGCAAACTCATCACGCGGAACAGATACACAAAACCGTACTGGATAATTCGAAAAATTATTTCACACCATTATTTGCTCAGTGGGATAATGCGTCAGTTCATCACAAACAAAATTCACAAACGAAGACGAGTTCATCAAACAAAATTCATACTATTTCCGGGAAAAAAAACATAGTTCATACTAACATATGAAAGGATTACGTATTAACGGAGACCTACCCCTAACCCTAGTTTACCGGAATTTCTTGCCACCGTGCTCACTCAACGTAGTTGAGGTAGTGCTTGACCGCGGACTTGCGCAACGCCCATGCGAGCTAGTGCTCCTTTCTTGGTGGCTTTGAGGCGGCCCTGAGCACCTTCTTTGTCGTTCGTCATCGTGCACTGTGCGGCAATGTGTTCGGCGGCGGCAGCGCGACACCTGAGCACCATTTTGGAAAGGGCTGATGAGAGTGAAATCATACATGAAATTGATGGATGTAAACCTCAACTATGTAGTTGAGGTAGTGCTTGACCGCTCCACATGATAAAAGTTATTGTTAGAAATGATACTACCATGAAATTCTGAGAGGATACATGATTTATTTATTTTTGCGAATATGGAGGATACATGATTAGGGAAGACGTCTCTAGCTATCCAATATCTTTCTCTCTATAATATTGTTCAGCGTAGAGATGCTTACGTTGCAACAGTATTACAGTCCAACCCTCTCAATATTCAATTCAAGAGGACTTTAGCGAGGAACCGTTAGAAAGCTTGGCTCCATCTTGTGAGAAGATTGATGGATGTAAACATTTCTCAACAGCCAGACCAACTGCACTGAAAACCATAGTTTTAAATAGCCGACTATAGCCCCGCTATAGCTGTTTGAGGATGTTGCCGCTAAATGATTTCACGTACAATTTGCCGCTATAGCCCAGCTATAGCTGACTAAGGGTTGCCGTTAAATGTCATAGTCCGCTATTTAAAACATTGCTGAAAACTAACCAAGAATGGAGTGTTTTCGGTAAAATCCATGTATTTGGATATTATCAACTCTGGCTCTATCCCTCGATCGATGAGTCAAAGTGCCTTAAAAACTAAAGTATTTATGTGGTTTGTCTATAAACAAATCATTTTAACTAAGTACAATTTGGCAAAATGTAACTGGACATGATTTAGAAGATGTAGCTTCAATGATCATGTTGAATCTATCAAACTACTGCTATGTTGTATTTTATCAGACTAGTCGGTGACCCTAGGATTAAAACAATGATATTCGTCCGATCTAGTAGGAACGAGTCAGGCGTTGAATTGTCTCCTTCCTCCACTAATTACGTGCTTCTGGTAACTGATCCCGTAGCATGTCCTCTCCTGCCGCTAACCTCTCTGTCCGCCACTAATTATGCGCTGAGTACGTTAATTGATCCTTCCCCGGTCAAGGAAGCATGAGCATGACAGTGAATATTTGCTTCCAGCTTCGTTTCTAATATTTGCTTCCAAACCTATATTCTAGTAACAAATTTTTTGTGCCGGAAGCACTGTTCCATCGACTAGAGAATTCATCCAACTAAACAGTGATTTGTTTCCTTCAAAATAAAAAAAGGTATTTTTCTGACTAATTTCAAAAGTATCAACCTGGTGCTTCCATCAACTATAAAATTGCTTCCAACCAACTAGTAATGAAATTGCAAAGAAAACAATCTTTTAGTATAAAGAAAATTTTTCTTCGCGAAGGAATCACGTGGAAGCACAACATGAATGATGACGCATTATTAAAAAAAACATATCTTCGCTTGTTTCAAAAGCATCAGCCTCGTGCTTCCGTCAACTATAAAATTGCTTCCAACCAAATAGTAATAAAATTGCATGTGACACGATATTTTCAAATAAAGAAAAAAATTTGCTTCGCAAAGAAATCACGTGGAATCACAACATGAATGATGACGCATTGTTAAAAAAAACATATTTCCTTCAAAAGCATCAGTCTCGTGCTTCCATCAACTATAAAATTGCTTTCAATCAAATAGTAATAAAATCGCATGTGACATGATATTCTTCAAATAAAGAAAATTTTGCTTCGCAAAGAAATCACATGGAAGCACAACATGAATGATGACGCATTGCTAGAAGAAAAGCATTTTTTCTTGTTTCAAAAGCATCAATCTCGTGCTTCCATCACTTACAAAATTTCTTCCAACCAATTAGTAATTGCAATTGATACAATCTTGATGTATAATGAAAACAGTTGCTTCGCAAAGAAATCATGTGGAAGCACAATGAATGATGAAATTAATCACATCGAAGTAATGCTTCGAAACACAAATCGTGCTTCCTAATTCTAGTTCCCCTCTATGCTCCATCCAACCATGTCCGACCTAGTCTTGATGACATTCATTTCTCCCACAAATCTATGGTGTCAACGTCGGCGAGCGTCGACGCCATTGAGGGGCCAACAATCTTGACATGTGGCCACTGAGTGTGTGACACGCTAATTTGCTTCCAAATTGATCTCACATCGGCATGGCATGTTCTTCCGCTGTTGACAACCCTGCAGAAATTACAAAATGAGTTGTTTGAATTGAGTTCGAACACAACGCCTACAAAACATTACAAAGCATGCAAATGAAGCAAGCTGAACGCAGTGTAGAAGCGCATGTATGAAACACATGAAACAAACTATACACGGTCAAAAACTACAGTTTTTTTTGGAACATTGGTCAAGAACTACAGCTATGTATGTATGAAGGGAATTGTATGTCAGGTAGAAGCAATATAATACGTATCCATGGAAATTTGAAAGCATATACTCATACAATCTCAAAATAGTACCTGGTCCGTTTCAAAAAGAAATAAATAGTACCTGCATGGACGCAAAGAATTCGGCAAAAAGGAACATCCAAAAGGGATGCGTGCTGATTCTTATGGCTTCTGATCCTCCTGGCATGTAGTGATCCTCCGGGAGCATGGTTAGGCAACCACACCAGCGGCCACCTTGGCTGGAGATGAGCACCGCTGCATGTACGGAAGAGTGGCGCTCCGGCGCGGTGGATGGGACGGAAGTGGCCGGTGAAGTGGTCGTGCTGCTCGACGACGATGAGATGCAGGTGCGTGCAAGGCCGGGGGAGAAGAGGATCTGGGAGGTGCGTGGCTGGCGGGGAGTGGAATCGGGAGAGATATGAGGAGAGTAATTAGGCAGAAGTTCCGTGCGGAGTTTGTGGGTAGGTAGTTCCTGGCCGAAGGATTTTGTTTTCTAAAAACAATATCTGGAGCACAATATGTGACCATCAGATCTCTATTGAATCGACGGTCGTCGATTGGCCTGACGTTGGCCTCCTATCAGCCTACTGATAGTAAGTATTTCCCAATCTATCAAACACCTCTTTCTTGATGCGCATAGACCGTCATAGCTTGTTGAGCACGTCGAAGCTGGCCCGCGTGTCTCGCTCGCCACTCCGGTAGAGCCGGGTGCGGTCCCGCCTTGCATCGATCTCCACGTCTGTCGTGCCTCGTGCTCATCGTCGCTAGAGGTGGAGACCGTCACCACGACGCAGTTGGAGCTTTCAGCCTCTGTGTTGTGGCAGGCATGCTTGCTCAACGGTGCATGGACGTGGGTGTCACGGCTTCCACCCGCATCGACGTGGCCTCCACGGCCGCGGCTGGATTCGCTGGCCATCGATCTACCAGAAACGGAGAAAAAGGAGAGGAGGAGCGAGAAAGTATTCGCCGGAATTGGCTAAGCCCAGCGGCGGAGGAGACGAAATGTGGATGATGGGAAGGGGGCTAACCCTAAATGTCCCCGGTACCGCTCAGTGGAGGGGTGCATATATGGGTCCCTCGATATTTTTTTCT